TCCTTCTGTATCACTGTACTTAGAAACTAATTATATACATATATATGTAAATAAATTTTTCTTTCAGGCAAGAGACTATAATTTCTATTTCATCATGTGAGTATTTCTCTAATTTAGTCAGAATGACTTCTGAGGTCCTTTTATGTTTATATAATATGGAGAAGTAATGTGATCTCTATATAGTCATTCATTCTAGCAAACCTTTGACATACTGTGTGCCAAGCATTGTGATAGATGCTGGTGATTTTTTTTAAAAAGGGGCACCAACTCTGCTGTTGAGATTTGCCCTCATGATACTTGCAGTTTAGAAGTCAGCCTTTAAATAAATAATTACAAATAGTCATACTTAAAAGTCCAGAGTGGCCCACAAGTCACTAGCCCTTGTGTGCCTCTCTGGGTCCTGCTTCTACTGTTTTCTCCCTTGTTCCATTCCATCCATACTGGTAACTTCTTCAAATAGGTCCAGAATGTGTCTTGGCACTAACTACCCTCTTTCACTTTCAGTGGCACCTTTTTGTCAGAGAGGTCTCAGCTTAAGTGCCACCGCCTTACAAGGCCCTGTGTGTCCTCCAAATCTAGGGTAGCTCTCCTTCTTGCACCATCTCTGTCTTGTCACTGTGCTCTGTTTTCATTAGAGCGTTTATCACTAGCTGCTACATTTTGGGTGTATGTTTGTCTCCCAAGTAGGAAGTACACTCAGGAGATAAGGGATCTTATCCATCTGGAATACCTCTTATCCCTAGTGGCTAGAACAGTGCCTGACAGACAGATGTGTTTGTTAATAAATGACGTAAGTAAGTACAAGTGTAGTATATAATAGTAGAGGATGCTGTGGGAGCCTTTACCAGCAAACCAAACCTAGTATGAAGTGGTCTGGGGAGACTTTCCTGAGTATGTCTGTCAGCATAAGGCTGACGAAACAACATTCTATGTCTTACTCTCATGTAACAGCCTGAATGTTCCAGGTTGAAGTGAGCATTCCTGGTGGGCAGACCGCTCTGCATGACCGTTTGGGGACCCATGTTCTTTCCATCTTGTTGCTCTGTCATCCCTTGGGTGTGGTTTCATGGTGGAAGCTGCGTCTTCATGAGTTCCTGCTGGTGGAAAAGGGAAGGAACACGAAAGCCTCCCTCACACATCGCTTCCTATTGGAGAGAGGGACTGGGAACCATAGTCTAGCCTGGGATGAAAGAGAAAGGAGATTTTGGTCCCAGCCCACAGCCTGTGCCACACTGAAAAAGTGAGCTGTAAGCAGAGACCAAAAGGATGAGTAGACGTTAGAAAAGAGGAGGGTGAGGGGAAAATGAAGTTCAGAAGGAACTTGATGTGTCAGGGAACTCGGGTGGGAGGAGGCAAGGCCTACTCTAGGAACAGAGAAATTTAGTGCTTCTGGAAGAGAGAGTACCTGCGGAAAGGGTGGTGAAACGAGACTACAAAACTTGTCAGGGTCTAGATCTTACAAGGCCTGGAGATCCAGCTAGAGGTTTTGGGCTTTCATCTGAAGGTTTTAAGTGGTGGACAGATATGCATTTTTATAAGCCCAAGAGTGAACTGGGAGAAGGAAGCATAAAAAGGGGGCTTGAGAGCTCAGTTTGGGGGAGACAGATTAGACTATTGAAGTAAGGGCCCAGAGTTGTGCAGTTGTGGGTGGAGTAGAGAGATGGTGTCTGGTGAAAGAGTTTTCTTGCCAAACTTGTCTTGCTTTATTTTCACAGAACATATTTCTTGTTTACCTCTTTAATGACGTGAATGCTCTTTATATGTCGTGTGCCGGGGAGTATGTACATCTGTGTACATGTCAGCTGAGGACAAGTGCCAGGGGAAGAAATCAGTATACAGTACTGATTTTAGGTTATTTAGGTCACCAAGTGTTAAATTATATCAAAGAGGCAGAGATGACACTAAGCGAAAGCAGTAGGAATATGTTACTGGCGTGTCAGGGAAAAGATGGAAGTTATTGAAGGCTAAAGGCAAAACACTGACAAATAATTACCTTGGTTGTCATACCCAGTGTTCTCCTAGTGATAACATTTGAGTTCTTTATAGTAAGATTATCCACCTGTAGTGACTTCAGTGTGGGACACCCAATACATGTTATAAATAGATGTGACTTTCCAGGGAGTGGGGAAGCTGTTAATTTCAATTTTTGAAAGCCTTGGATTCTAGCAGGACTCAATTATCTTATTAGTAGTAAGTACAAGTACCAGTAGCCTTTTTGCCTTTTAGTTCTAGTTCAGGATTAATGCAGTGGACAAATTTGTCATTATATTTAGATGGCTAAATCCTTGGAAAGTCAGGTTTGAACCGAAAAGTCTAGTTTATTGCTGGAGTTGAGGTGCAACGTTTTCAGGAAGTCAGAAATAACTTCTGGATTATTGGGAGCTGTTCTCATGTGAATTGAAAACATTCGTACTGTAGTTAACTTTTGGTGGATTTTCGACTGCACAGGGTGTCAGTGCCCCTAACCCCTGGGTTGTTCAAGGGTCACCTATAATTTCCTTAACAGAGTCGTCAGATACATAGTAAGTTTCCCACAGATGTGAATTCCGTTCCATATTTTTGTTCGGGAGGCCTCAGCCTAGGAAGAAAATTGCCTCCCCATTTGCAAAGGCAAAGGCAAATTTCGTGGAACATAGTGTCTTTATCCTGCATCTAGAAATGGCTGTTTTTAGCTGACTTTCAGAGTGTTACATAAATAAGAGTGTTGGTTTTTGTAGGCAACTTTGATTCTGTATTTTCTTCTCTCCTTGGGCTTGCTGAGGTCAGCATGAGTCTCAGCCACACTGTAAGAGTCCTGGTGGCATGATACTGACGTAAGTGTACCGTACACCCTGGCTGTGGGGAAGGCCACTGGAATTCTGGGTTCCTCTCTTCCTGTGGGTGGACTTAAGTTTGTCTTACTGAATAAGAATTATATTCATTTATAGACTTAAACTTCCAGAAATATTTTCTAGAACTTGTGCCTTTTGCTAAATGTGAAGATTTCAAACCATCAGTATCTGTTATTTTGTTTATTGGGTGAAAAATTATCAGTAACATCACTCTGAGAAAATGCAGTATTTTAAAAAGGGTTTAGTTATGAACATACTTTAAAAATTTGCTATTACATTTTATGAATTCTTTTCAGTATTATTTTAAGCCCTCGTATTCCTAGACATAGCTACAAATTGCAAATGTTGTATTCCAGCTCTTTTACTAAATACTTTTAGTAGCTCAACACATATACAAATAGAAAACAAATTTCACAAATTTACTTCCTTTCTTGTTTAAAATTGGCTCAATTTTATGGTGACAAGTATTTTTGCATATATTTTATAGGTTAATTTTGTAAAGGGACTACTACATGGTTTCAGATTTTTCTTTTATTATAATTTGGTGGTATGTCAGTGATGTAGGTAGGCCAAGTCGATTTGTAAATTCATAGCCTTGGAGTTAAGTTGCACTGACTTGAGCCTTTAATTGACACTTACTTCTCTTCAAGATTCATATAAATCATGGAAACTCTTGTTTGAAGTAAATCCAGACCTCATTTTTAGAAACTGAAGGCTGAGGATTCGTTCGTTCCAGCTGTCTAGTCCAGTGCAGATGGCTTTCAGTTGCATTCAGGCACAAAGAAATGTACACATTGCCTTTTTATGTTCTGTAACATCCTTTGTCACGCTTCCTTCCTCTCTAGTTCTGTTTTTATTCTCTTATGACTAGTAAAATTCTACTATGTGTATTGGAGTGGAGATTTCCCCCATTTTTCTAGGACTGCACAACCAAAAAAGAGGGACGTTAAAAAATGAAACAAGCATTGGAAATCCTGCAGTTTAATATGAATGGTAGGGAGTAGCTGTGTCTTTGGTAGGCAGGGGTCACATCACCCATCAAAGACTGAGTGCCTATAAATTGCCCGAGTCTGTGGTAGGTTTGGGCAATATGAGCAAAGCACAAGACAGATATGGGACCTGCCCTCATGGGACTTATGTTGTAGCTGGGAATGCAGTAAATAATTTCAAGTTATAAGGGAGGAACAGGGTGCTGTGGGAGCGAGTGCATCGTGGGGGGGGGCAGTGGTGGTGGTGATTGTCAGGGCAGAGTGTGTGTGAACATTTCCCAGCAGAAAGTCTATGTTGAATTGGAGGGTCTTTCAAAAACTGAAAGAAGGACAGTATGGCTGGAATGGAGGAATCAAGGTGGGGAGATTGTGGAAAACAGCAGCTAGAGTTTTAGAGAGCTTTTTAAGGCAGGATGAGGATTTTGGACTTTATCCCCAGTGGAAACCTAGGAGGCGGGAGGAGAGAGACGACTGCGTCATGCTGATGACTTTCTTCTGGTCGGTTTATCCATGGTCCTCTTCCTATGTAGTGGACAGAGCTAGACTCTGTGTCATGCATGACCTGAGCACAGTGGATAGCCTTCACATCTGCCACATCTGGCCACCTATGAGTATAGCTTAACATTGAATTAGCCTTTGACACCAGAGGAACATTATAACCTAATCGTTCTCTTACCAACTGAAGGTGTTTTTCACATATTTTAATGCTAAACTTGTATCTCTTTCCCTTGTGCTTTGTGCTAGTCATATATTGGGCCTAAGCAGGAGTCTTTATTTGTGTTAAATTTAATCTGTTGGATTTGCCTTATGGTTTCTACCCTTTGGTCATCTTTCTGGACTTGTTATTTAGTAAATACATATCCTGCCCAAATTTGGTTCATCTTTGAATTTTATAAATATGCCATCTATCTCTAAATCAGGGCAGGAATGAAGACAGAGCTGTGAAATGAGCTTTGTGGCCAGAGAGCCTGGGTTTGAATTACAGTGCTGCCTGCCACTTAACAGCTGGGTTATTTTGGGCAAATTAACCACTCTGGGCCTTAGTTTCCTCATCTGTAAAATGGAAATAGTGATAGTATCTGTTTCAGAGGTTGTGGTGAGAATTAAATGAATAATGCATGTGAAGTGCTGCTTGGCACATAGTTAGTGATCAGTCACCTAAACTATTATTATGTTGTTATTTTATAGGCCATCATAGATGTTCAAACTCCTTTAACAGTATGTCCTATTATTGCTGAGTTTCAAAGAGTGATTGAGGATGTGTGAGTAGATCAAAAAGTTTATCCTTCTATGATAGGAAACATATTTTGGGAAATGTATAAAATGAAACCCAGCCAGATGCGTTTACTGGTGATTTTTCTAAACTGCAAGTTGTATAAACCTGTGGGTCTGATTCTCCCTCTGTCTTGTGTAGGTATGGCATCACAGCTGCAGGTGTTTTCCCCCCCATCAGTGTCGTCGAGTGCCTTCTGCAGTGCGAAGAAACTGAAAATAGAGCCCTCTGGCTGGGATGTTTCTGGACAGAGCAGCAACGACAAATATTATACCCACAGCAAGACCCTCCCAGCCACACAAGGGCAAGCCAACTCGTCTCACCAGGTAGCAAATTTCAACATCCCTGCTTATGACCAGGGCCTTCTCCTCCCAGCCCCTGCCGTGGAGCACATTGTTGTAACAGCCGCTGACAGCTCAGCCAGTGCTGCTACATCCACCTTCCAAAGCAGCCAGACCCTGACTCACAGGAGCAACGTTTCTTTGCTTGAGCCATATCAAAAATGTGGACTGAAAAGAAAAAGTGAGGAAGTCGACAGCAACGGTAGCGTGCAGATCATAGAAGAACATCCCCCTCTCATGCTGCAAAACAGGACTGTGGTGGGTGCTGCTGCCACGACCACCACTGTGACCACGAAGAGTAGCAGTTCCAGCGGAGAAGGGGATTACCAGCTGGTCCAGCATGAGATCCTTTGCTCTATGACCAACAGCTACGAAGTCCTGGAGTTCCTAGGCCGGGGAACATTTGGACAGGTGGCCAAGTGCTGGAAGCGGAGCACCAAGGAAATTGTGGCCATTAAAATCTTGAAGAACCACCCCTCCTATGCCAGACAGGGACAGATTGAAGTCAGCATCCTCTCCCGCCTAAGCAGTGAGAATGCTGATGAGTATAATTTTGTCCGTTCTTACGAGTGCTTTCAGCATAAGAATCACACCTGCCTTGTGTTTGAGATGCTGGAGCAGAACTTATATGATTTTCTAAAGCAGAACAAGTTTAGCCCACTGCCACTCAAGTACATCAGACCAATCTTGCAGCAGGTGGCCACCGCCCTGATGAAGCTCAAGAGCCTTGGTCTGATTCATGCTGACCTTAAGCCAGAAAATATAATGCTGGTCGATCCAGTGCGCCAACCCTACCGAGTGAAGGTCATTGACTTTGGTTCTGCTAGTCACGTTTCCAAGGCTGTGTGCTCAACCTACTTACAGTCACGTTACTACAGGCAAGTGGCCAATGCTAAAAAGCTTACCTTAGACTCAAGATGTGTCTATATTTTATATGTGTTGTATAAGGCTACATCTAACAATGAACTTATTTACAGATTCCAAGATAGAAACAGGGTAATGTTTTAGTTCATTTCAAGTGTGTGACATTCCTATAAGTAACATTATTTTATATCTGAAGTCTTATTTAATACTAGAAAAATTAATTCTCTGGTTCTGAAGGTTCCTAGTTGAATTATATAGTAGACCTTGAACATCATGGAGGTGGGGGGAACCTGCATATAACTTTGGACTCCTCAAAAACTTAAGTTCTTCAGTACCTGTGGAGGATTAATTTCAGGACCCTGCAGATACCAAAATTTGCAGATGCTGTAATCCCCTATATAAAATGGTGTAGATCAGTGCATACAGTTGGCCCTCTGTACCTGCAGCTCCCAGTCTCAGATTGAAAACGGTGCAGGTATTTATTGAAAAAAGTCTGCATATATGTGGACTTTGCAGTTCAAACCCTTGTTCAAGGGTCGGCTGTACTAGCATCTGATTTTTCTTTAGTGTCATTATACCTAATTTTCCCATTTAAAAGAGTCTTTACATATAATAAAGATGTTTACTTATTTGTAATGAATTTGGACATATGCTGCTATTTTTTTCTAAGTTCACATCCTGACAGGTAAGATGCCTTGGGAATGCCAGGTTTAGCTCTAACAACATTTTATTCTTTTACCTTTCCTGTCTTGCATAAATGTATTAGATGATTGCTAAGGTCTCTTCCTGTTTTAAATTCTCTATAATACTTTGATAACCTATTTTGTTATTCTACAATGGTCTTCATCCAAGTGAGGTGCTGGTATAGAGTACAAATCTGTCTGTACTGTAATTAAGGAGCATTACTAAAAGAAGATGGGAAAGTCTTTTAAAATGTGCTTTTATTTCTCAGTACCTCATTTATTTATCCAGTTATTAATAGTGATAAAACTTACCTAACAAGTAGTTTACCATTTTAGTAATTTTTAAGTATACCATTTCAGTGTCATTAAATACATTCACAGTGTTGTGTAACCATCACTACTATCTATTCCCAAAATTTTTTCAGCACCCAAAACAAACTCTATAACCTTTAAGCAATAACTCCACCTTTCCACCCACCCTTGTTAATCTCTGTTTGACCCCATCTCTGAATTTGCCTGGTCTAGATAGTGTATATAAGTGGAATCATACAGTATTTGTCTTTGTGTTGGCTTATTTCACTTAGCATAATGTTTTTAAGGTTATTCCATAATATAACATGTATCAGAACTTTATTCCTTTTCATAACTGAATAATATTCCTTTGCATGCACATATCACATTTTGTTTATCCATTCATTTTGTAATGGACATTTGGTTGTTTTCACCTTTCTGGCTATTATGAATAATGCTGTGATGAACATTGGTATTCCATTGTTTAAGTCTCTGTTTTCAATTCTTTTGGGTATATAACTGGAAGTAGAATGGCTGGGTCATATGGTAGTTCCGTGTTCAACTTTTTGAGGAACCACCAAACTGTTTTCCACAACTGATGCACTATTTTGCATTCCTACCAGAAGTGCATGAGGATTCTAATTTCTCCATATCCTCATTAACACTTGTTATTTTCTGTTTTGTTTGTTTTTTGTAATAACGATCCTTATGTGTCTGAAATGATACCTCATTGTGGTTTTGATTTGCATGTCCCAAATGATTAGTGATGTTGAACATCTTTTCACGTACTTACTGGCCATCTGTGTATCTTCTTTGGAGAAATGTCTGTTCAAGTCCTTTGTCCGTTTTTGAATTGGGTTGTTTTTTTTGTTGAGTTGTAAGTGTTCTTTATGTATTCTGGGTGTTAATTCCTTATCAGATATATCATTTGCAGTTTTTTTCTCCCATCCATGGGGTTGGCTTTTCGCTATTTTTTGTACAAAAATTTTTGAACTGTAATAAAGTCCAGTTTGTCTGTTTCTTTTGTTGCTTGTGCTTTTGGTATCACATCCTATCAGTCATTGCCAAACCAGTGTTATGAAGCTTTTCCTCTGTGTTTTCTTCTAGGAGTTTTATAGTTTTAGCTCTTATATTTAGGTCTTTGATCCATTTTGAGTTAATTTTTGTATATGGTATAAGGTAAGGATCCAGTTTTCAGTTTTCCCAGCACCATTTGCTGGCAGACTATCCTTTCTGCATTGAATGGTCTTGACACGCTTGTCAGAATCCTTTGACCATATATATGAGGGTTTATTTCTGGGCTCTCTGTTCTATTCCATTGGTCTGTATGTCTGTCTTTATGCCAGTACCACACTGTTTTGATTACTTGTAGCTTTGTAGTAGGTTTTGAAATCAGGAAGTAGGAGCTCTGCAGTTTTTCTGTCTTTAAAAATTGCTTCAGCTATCTCAAGGAGTCCCTTGAGATCCATTCATAGGAATTTTAGGATGGGTTTTTTTATTTCTGCAAAAAACCTCATTGATTTTTTTATAGGGATTGCACTGAATCTGTAAACCACTTTGGTTAGTATTGACATCTTAACAACATTGTCTTCCAATCTACTCTCATCCATTTTTCTTTTTTATAGTTTTCTAAAACTATGATATTTCTTACCTCAGTGAGATAAAGAAATTCATAGAGCCTTCGGTTTCTAGTTTCATGTTGTTCTAGGCAACTTGAATGATTTTGAGAATATCACGTCCATTTATTTGTTCATGACTTGGGAGAGTTAGGCTCCAGTTACTTTGGCTTTTAATACTCTCCTTTGAGCAGTTCCACCAGCAGCCATGCACACGCATATACACAGCATGCTTACAGGTGCACTGAGGAGTCCAGCTCTGCATCTCATTTTGAGCACTGGGGAAGTAAGGAGAGCACAGCCGAGGACTGAGGGCTTTCTTGATCTTTTATCTAGTCAGTGTCTGCAGGTGTTTAACTGTCTGCCCTGTCAAAGATGAAGTGCATTCTCTTGTGGTAACTGGAGCCATTTTAAGATTGAAAAAGAGCAGTTGAGATAAGAATTATTCATGAAATAATTTTTGATGGAATTTTCTTATAAAGGGTAAAGGAGATCTGAGGGATTAAACAGTTCTGGCTGCTACTTAGCTTTCTCCAGTATGAAGTTTGAATAACTTTTAGTGTTAGATTGCTGGTCTTTGCCCCTTTCCTTAATCTTTTAATTTAATTTAAGCTGTCATTTGAGTAATTTGGTTCTGTTTTGTTTTTATAGAAAATATGATTTTTCAGAATTTTAAATCCACTGGGTAATTACTCTTCAACAAAATCTGTAAATCCATTGCATTTAGTTGTTGACTGTATGAGTCATTTTAAATGGAGCTAAGTTTACCCCTTAAAAACAGGAGTTCATTCTGTGTATTACTAATGATTGTACATTCTGAGGTTCAATATCCAGGGCTCGACTGTGTAGGATTTGACATGAATGTTCTGATGTGTCATGGGAATACTTGATATTGAGCCTAAGGCAAATGGAATAGCAGCTCAGGCATTTCTTCTACATCATTAGTTTTATCCCACAGTGTCTTCATGTTGCTTTGTTTCCTTATTGGAGTCCATTAATCCCTCACCCTCTTTTCAGAAAACCTCTGTGAAATTCTTTTGGCCAGTGAAGTGATCCGGCTCCAAGGCTGCCTTTCTCTTACCCTCCTTTTTAGTTGACATTGCTTCATCTTGCTGATAACATGCCAAAATATTATCAGTTGACATAACTTTCTGCCACCATGTTGTCTCTGTTGCCCATGGGCATGGCTAAATAACTCAGGCAATGGAAATAATATACTTTTATTTCCTGGCCCTCTGTAAATGTAAATGTAGACTAACCCTCCTAAAAGTTGCTCTTTTTGAGTTGAACACACAAAGGTTTCCATGCTTATAAGCTCAGTGCTTCAACATTCTGAACGAACTAGCTGGCCTTCATTTAAAGCTGAGGTCACTTTATTTGTTCTATATGGAAGGAAAGCATATTTTCACTTTATGCTAAACAAACAAACAATCCCATTTTATCTGACAGTGAGACTACAGTTTCATCTAAGCCACAGATGCAGGAAGTTTGACTTTATGTAACATCTCTGATCTAGTAAGTTTGATGCCCCTGCGACAGGCAGGAAGAAACAAGTGCGTTCATGAAAATGAGCAGAGGATGATTGTAAGTGATCCTGACCTCAGCTTGCCCTGGGTTCCAGTGAAAGAAAGCTTTATGACCTTGGAGGAATTCTTCAATTTAGAGAAGTTTGAAGTTGAGAAATCAAAAGACAGGGATTGCTGCTCCTACACCTGGTTATAGTCATTAGAGCCTGGTTAGTATTAGTTTTTTAAGGATGGGAGTATCTTCAGAGAGGAGACCACTGTGTCCAAAGTACAGTTAACACCATTTTTCTACTAAAGTGAACACGGCCAGTTTTATTTTATTTCCCCTCTTTCCTGTGCTCTAATAGGTTATCTTTACTGCCCAGCTAGCTGTTAGAACGTCAGAGCTGGAAAGGAACCTAGGAGAGAATTATCTAACTCAGCCTCCTTATTTCACAGATGAAAAAGAGCCAGAGTTTCGCATCTAGAGTTTATATTAAGGGATTGAGAAACCATGGAGGCCAAGGGGAAAGATGATACAATAATGAAAATATTACCAAGAATTATAATCTGAATTCAGAGTTTAAGACATTTACTGTTTAGAAATGAACATGCTCTAAATGATTCCTTTCTGTTCAGTGAAAAACTCAGTCTTTTCACTTGCTAGAGTTTAGGTAAGTTTAACATTTCTAGGAGTAATGATAGTGAACATCCCTCAGGAGACCGAACAGCCTTATTTTTATTTTATTTTTACTGTTAATTTTTTTCCTTTTGATGATACCTTTTGTATGGTAGATGGCAGAGTGACTGTTTTGAGTGAGGTTTGCTGGAAATCCTTAGTTACTTTTATTACTCCAGAAGCAGGGTGAGACCAAATGGAAAAACTGACTCTAGCCAATCTCCAGGGGTTTTTGTTTAATAGGGCTTGGGGATTGGAATTGATGTTTTTCTTAATTTCTCCGAAAATTTAAGTCTTGCCACATATTATTGCTACCTTTTTAAAGAAGTAAGTCATTGGGTTCCTGGCCTCTCCCTGTGACCTACCCTTTGGGTTTGAAAATGTCTTCCTGGTGTAGTGGGAATGGCAGAATCATCCATGCTCTTCAGTGGATGCTTAGGAATGTTCTAAGCCCGGTTTTCACTTGGGCACGAAGCCACTTGTGTTTTCCCTGCCAGCTGTTTTTGGCACTGTCATGAGCTTGGAAATTAATGATTCTGCCCACTGAGAGTAAAAGTTTGTTCCTTTTCAATTTTAGCAAAGCTTTTCTGTTTCTGGGTCCTTGTACCCTCTGGTTTATTAATGCCATCAAACTTGTGCTGTCTTAAAGACATGCCGGAGTGGTTGGGATTTAATTGAACTCTGAAATTCCATCAGCAATATGGCTCTAGCCACCTGCAACAGGAGTATCACTTTTGATGGTTGTTTCTTTAGCTAACAAAACCACGGTTCACATCAAGTAGTACAAAAACTGTCTGTTAGTGTTTCCACCCATAGCTGTCATATAGTGTAAGTCTCAACACGCCTGGATCTTTTGCAATTTCTCTACAAGATCAGGATAGCTTCTAGACCTTAAGGAGTCCTCTGATTTACCCTTTTTTCTTAGAAAATGACTTGGGGAGAATATTCTTATTTAGGGAAATGTCTTTATACCCTCCCCAACTCCATCTTTGCCCCTCACCCCCCTCCACACACATAAAAAACACACATTTCTTTAAAGTTTGGGAAACCTGGGCTCTCCATGAGGAGATGTGGTCCGTTAGATGGGTCCTAATGGAGAGATCTGCTTTTCTGTTTATCTCTATTAAATGAGGGATTTGGACCTGGTGTCCATACAGATTCAAATCTGATGATTTGTAAGAAGGAAAGGAAGTTATTTAGAGAAGGTGCTAAAGTTTAAGAGCTCAGACCTTGGTGCAAGACTGCCTTGACTCCATCATTTGGTAATTGTGTGGCCTTGGGTAACTTACTTAACCTCTCAGTTCCCATTTTCTTCATCTGTAAAATGCAAATGATACTTTATTACATAGAATCTGAGATACCCTGGGTTATAAGGTGAAACATTATTTATGAACCAATGAGAAAGTGAAAGCACTGCCATTAAAATATACCATTGTTTGCAAGAAGTCTTCTTAGTTTCAGAGATGTTAAAATGTAAAAAAAAAAATTGCATCTTAGAATTGATGACTTAATAGTAATAATACCCGCTTTCATAGAATTGTAAGGATTAAATGACTCCACATTTATAAAGAACTTGGAATAGTGCATGGCACATTGTAAGTGTCACTTATTAGTATTATTGATAATAGTGTTACCTAGTATTATCATTACCTTTCTGAACACATTCATTTATCTCTTAAGTTTAGTCACACTTTGAAAAATGCCATGGTATGCCACCATGCCAAGTCAATTTTTATAGATGGGTATGTACTTAACTTTTACTTATTTAGAGACAGTATAGTAACTCAACTCCAGAACTAGACTGCCAGGATCAAATTCTAGCTCTGCCACTTATTATGTGATTTTGGGAAAATTACTTAATATATTTGCCTCAGTTTCCTCCTCTATAAATGAGGATAACAGTTTTCCTTGGATGTGTTTATAACATGTAAAGCTCCAAGTTTATGGGATTACCTTAATCTTCTCTTTAAGGTTCCGTGGAGTTAGATTTTTCCCCTGGAGAGCTTAATGGAAATGAATATTTCTAAAAACATTCAAAGAACTCAAAGTTTTACAATAATGATAACATAATAATAATAGTTACTGTTATATCTAACACTTACATAGTACTTTACATGTGCCGGGTACAAGAGGTTACTGTCCAAGACTTTTAATATTTTTTATTATTGTTTGTTTATTTAAACCTTATAACTCCCTATGCTGTAGGTATTCTTGTCTTCATTTTATGAATGAGGAACCTGAGGCACAGAGAGATTAAATAATTGCCTACAGCTGTTAAATGATGGAATGAGGCTCTGAACCCAGATAGGCTGGCTCTAGAGTCCCTGCTGTCAACTACTGTGTCTCTACAGAAGGCATTTCTGTCACAAAGACAGATTTATTGACCAAGCCATTTAATTGGTTTCTCCATAATTAAAAAGGTGCTAAGGATAAAAAGAATAACTCTACGATTCCTTATTCATGATTTCAAAATTCAGAAAGCTCTAAAAACTAAAAATCTTTTTCTAAGTTTGGTATAAACTCATTGATTGGCAAAACCTGACTTGAAGCAGTGTACGGCTATTGGAAGTCTTTATGTAGCTGACTTAGTATGACTGCTGATGTGTTTTGTTGCAGAAATATTAATGTGTTTGATTCTGAGTGCTTCCCTACACTCCTTTGGGATTATGTAATATATAGTATGTTCATGGTATACCGTTCTGAAATTCAGAAGATTCTGAATTCCAAAACACATCTGACCCCAAGAGGTTTGAATGATGGATTTTATACCAAAGATTTTGTTTTCAGTTTCATTAAATCAATGTTATCTTTAGTTGTTACTAAAATAGGACTTAGTCCACACTGTTCATTTTCCCAAATAACATGTATTTTTTTTTGTCTATCATTTTTGTTTTTGCTAGAGCCCCTGAAATCATTCTTGGATTACCATTTTGTGAAGCTATTGACATGTGGTCACTGGGCTGTGTGATAGCTGAGCTGTTCCTGGGGTGGCCTCTTTACCCCGGTGCTTCGGAGTATGATCAGGTAAGAGCACTCACTAAATGGCTAGAAAGCAAGCAGCTCCTAGGCAGACGGAGTCGAGAGGAGAAGTACTGGTGAGGCATTTAGGTGATAGGGACGGAGTAGTCCATTTAGAAAGAGTTTTTTAAAGAATAGAACTTCTTTTGCCTGCTTCTTAGTCTGAAGTTAGGTTTGCAATTCTACAATTAAAAGGAGATTTCATATTACGTTAGGTTGGTACTTTTCCAGATCTGTAATGATTTATTAGAGTATTAACTTTGGTTAATAAGGCATCCTAAGAGTAAAGTAAGTTTGAGGAGCTGGGATTTTAAGAGTGAACTTTGGCTCATTCACACGTGTTGCTCCTTTTATACATGACATACACTGAAGTAAGTGCTCTTGGCATATGAAACACTTTGGGCCCCTATAGTGGGACTCTGTAAAATTGGATTTAGGAGAAAAATCATAGGACTTGAAAAATTTTGTAATAAATGGCCTTTGTGTCAAACAGACAAGCTGTGTTTTGGTTTTCAGCTATATGGCTCTCACAGCTTTGGAGTAATTTCCTGCTGTTGTCTAAAATTGTCTCATGGTAGACAGCATACCAGATTTGGTTTGTAGGCCATAGTTGGCCGACCTGTGCTTTATACTCTTAAAAAATTGTTGAGGACCCTAAAGAGCTCTTTTTATGTAGCTTATATATATATATAAATATATACTGATTTAGTATTTAAAACTGAAGATTTTGGGGGGGATAGATAGGAAGTAAGATTCATTTCCTTGCTTACAAGTTTTCCTCTAATTTTTTTCTTAAGTGTAGCCATTCATACACAGAGATGGGGTGGTAAAAAACTTGCCTCGTGTATTGCTCTCAGTAGTAGGGAGAAAATCCAGCTGCCTCTTCTACCGCCTTCCTGAGTTGGGAGAATCAGCCAGAAGTGTGAACAGTCGAATTGGGAAATTCATAAAACAAACGTATACCAGTACTCATTTCATTAGCTGTCAGCGATGACATCATCACACATCACCTCTGGAAGTTTCTACTGTACACCCATGGGAAGAGAATGGAAAGGCAAATGGCTTCTTAGTAGTATTATGAAAATTATTTTTACTTCACAGACCTCCTGAAAAAGTCTCGGGGTCCCAGCCCACATTTGAGAACTGCTGGCCTAGTTCATAGTAGGTGTTCAATAAATGCCGAATGAATGAACATAGCACTTGTCCTCTAGTGATAGAGAAGCTAAATTAAGAGCTTGATTTTATGGTACTAGAGATAAGCTCTGTGACAACTTAGGGGCAATTGATCAGGAGCTAGAGTAGCCAAGGAAGAAAGAGGTTTATAGAAATTTTTCCTAATTATGTTAATTTGATAGTGTATCAAAAACAAACAAATAATCCTTGGTAATCCATGAAATATAGAGTTTCTTGAAAACCATTCTATTCTGTACAAGAAATGTCCTAAAGTTTTCTGAAGTTTGTACCAGAAGTTTACAAAGAAGCAAAAGAGATTACACACAAAATTTTCAAAGCAGAAGTTTCCTTGTTAATCACACATACAGTAACAAGGAAGTTTCTGAATAAATATTTGGGAATTACCTGTGAATGGGTTAGCTTATGTATAGATTTCATTTGTATTTATCAACGAGTTAATTTCTTTGCAGTAATTTTCTTTTTTGCCTAGAGCTAATAATGTTTTAGTGTAAATGTTTGTAATAATTTTCCTTTCTATTCCAAATCGATGTTTTGATATTTCAGATTCGTTACATTTCACAAACACAAGGTCTGCCAGCTGAGTATCTTCTCAGTGCCGGGACCAAAACAACCAGGTTTTTCAACAGAGATCCTAATTTGGGGTACCCACTGTGGAGGCTTAAGGTCAGTCTCCCCTGCTGTATACTACTCATACCTGTACTCACTCCCAACTTTAAATTCAGAGTTTATTTTTATTTTTATTTTTAAGGTTACATCTTTTTTTTCTTTCTGGTTGGTTATCAAAGTTTATTCTTGAGGTGGAGGAGGGAAAGGGATTAGGGGAAATATATATTTGCAGGAGGGAATATGGTGAAAAATTACTTCATTGTACTCATTTGGCTTTATCCTTAATTAAAAAACAAAACTTTAAATGCCAGTTCAGTTGGCCGAGGTTATTTTGAATATTCAAAACAGCAGCTGAAAGGGGTAGGGAGGGTAGTACTCATCATTGTCATACAAAAAACTACAGTAATAAAGTAATGACTATTTTTTAGAGAATTCTCAATAAATATGATGCAATTTTTTAACTGCCCACATTAAGGCCTTATATATTTTCTTTAAACAAATATCTATCTGCTTTTTACTCCTGGGCCTTTAACCTGAGAGATCCCTGAGTGATTTGATTAACCCTGTGACTCTGCCCAAGTCTTTGAATAGTTAGCATGTGAAATATCATCTCATCTGAAAGTAGGTTTAAGAGAAAAATGGTAATGCCCCTCTTACCTGGCATTCCTCAGGAACTGGCCACATCATTGCTTGCACATTTATTTTATCATTGTTGAAAGGGCGGCTACATAGCAAGGTCAACCTCTGCACTGGAAGATTTCCTTGTTGTAAATGACTTTCATGTTTGTCATCTCTGGTTCACAAGTTGATGACCCTCATTTCTTTGTATTCTGGCTTTTAATAGAATAAAATGTGAAAATAACATACAGGTGAAATTTTTTTTAAAAATCCATATTTTATAGACACCCGAAGAACATGAATTGGAGACTGGAATCAAATCAAAAGAAGCTCGAAAGTACATTTTTAATTGTTTAGATGACATGGCTCAGGTGAGTATAGCAACTTTCAGAAAGCCAGACATTTATGTATTTCTTTATTCAGAGATATACTTCTTTTCTGTTGGTTATATTAAAGGCAGAGCCAGTCTGTTATCTTCTACTATGTTTTCATTTTTTACTGAAAACAAATGCATTGATAATGCTGCCATGTAATAAAAGAACATTTGAATCCAACAAAGGATACCTTTATATATTTCTTTCTTGCTTTTGTTAAACTGGTCTTGTTGTGTGTCAGTATTTTTTTTTTAAGATTTTTAATTGATTTTGAGAGAGAGAGTAAGATGGGGGAGAGAGAGAGAAACATCAATGTGAGAGCAAAACATCGATCGGCTGCCTCCTGTACGCCCCCTATGGCAGGGAGAGGATCGAGCCCACAACCCAGACATGTGCCCTGGCTGGGAATCGAACCCACAGCCTTTCTGTGCACCGGACAACACCCAACCAACTGCGCCACACCAGCCAGGGCATTGTCAGTATTTTGATATATTTGTTTTTGAAGGTTTATTTCTTGTCCATTTTCTCTACTAAATAAATACTTATATAAGAGCTAACATTTATTGAGTGTTTATTATGTTCTAAACTCTGTTTAAACACTTTATACTTATGTCCTTTAATCTTTTTAACAATGGAAACATTTAAACAATAATAGTCATTTTTGCTTAATTTGTTTGACTCAGATTTTGAATGAATGGAAATTCAGTTAACTTTATTCTACCAACATACTCTACCAAATTAAAGATTTTATTTAGAATAAGAAGAGCGTCCACCTGTGAAAATGATTTGACTGTAATAAAAATAATTTTCTCAGGTTTTTCTTTTGAGTACTATATGTAGTTTGGAGAGAAAGCAGAAAGTTAGTGGCAGCATTAAAGGTTAAGTAACAGAGTGTAATATTTCTAAAATTTCCTCGAAAGGTGAATATGTCCACAGACTTAGAAGGAACAGACATGTTGGCAGAGAAGGCGGATCGAAGAGAATACATTGATCTGTTAAAAAAAATGCTAACAATTGATGCAGATAAGAGAATTACTCCTCTGAAAACTCTGAACCATCAGTTTGTAACGATGACTCACCTTCTGGATTTCCCACATAGCAATCAGTGAGTATGATATGGTTTGGGCATTTTACCATGATGTGGTCATCTGTTGTGTTACCATCGTATAGGTAAATAGAAGTACCACGTGAGCAGCAACTTGGGGCTTACATGTTTGGCCCACTGATGCTTTTCTTTCTCATTGAAAAATTATGAAATTAAAAATCAGATATATATTTTTTCTCTGTGGTAATAAAAACTCTTATTCATTTGATCTGAAAATCCTTGAGGGCTGGGGGAAGAGGGACACTGGTCCATATTCGTCTTGAGTTATTTTCTTGTGTTTAATCTCAGCGTTCATTTCAATGAATCTTTCATTTCTCTTTTCAGTGTTAAGTCTTGTTTCCAGAACATGGAGATCTGCAAGCGGAGGGTTCACATGTATGATACAGTGAGTCAGATCAAGAGTCCCTTCACGACGCACGTTGCCCCAAATACAAGCACAAACCTAACGATGAGCTTCAGCAACCAGCTGAATACAGTGCACAATCAGGTACTCCCAGAGCGACTTTGGCACTGCAGACTTTGGCGGGGTAGGAACGAGGAAGAGTACAGGGTGAGGCAAAAAAGCCAGTCTTAGCTTTGCTGGGCGTTTTGCTTCTTAAGAATTTTCTACTTGGCAAAAGTGACGCTAGACAGGGTAGACCAATAATACCTATCAGTCATGTGCTGACAGAAATGAAATAGAAAGGCCTCTTCCATGCCCTCAGTCTGAGAATTGTCAAATAAATGGAGCCTGGCTATTGTACTACTTACTGCTGCTAGTTGTGCTGACTTTAGCCAAATAACTCTTTCTCTGTTGGAAGGACTTTATATGTCTCATTACGTGTACTGAAAGGCGTTTCCAATTTTTTTATATGCTGTACATTAGATTCCTATTTCTATGAGTTCTGTTGGGTGTTTCCAATAATTAACTCTGAGTGGTTTTGCATTTGTTTGCTAAACAGTGATATTTACATTTAAGTTTATTCCTGAAGATGTCAGCTTCCTGATTTCTTAGCTAGGTCTACTTTTTAAATGATATCTGGTAGAATCTCACATCCAGCATATAGCCTGAACCAGTACAGGACCAATTTTTTTTTAATTTTTTTCATCCTCACCTGAGGATGTTTATAGATTTTAGAAAGAGAGGAAGAGAGAGAGAAACATCAATCGGTTGCCTACTGGAGATTGAACCGGAAACCTAGCTCTATGCCCTGATGGGAATCGAACCCAAAACCGTTTGGTGCACGGGATGGCTCTCCAACCAACTGCTCCTCCCAGTCAGGGCCTATTTTTTATTCTTTGTTTCTTATTCAGCCTTATAATATGCCTTAAATTTAGAGACTGAGAAAATTTATTAAGCAGAGATTTATTTATTTCAAAGACAGAATTACATTTTAAAACTGTTTTAAGCTTTTCTGGATAGGTTCTGCGTGTATAAAAATACTGATATCTCTGTACCAGCATACAACTCTAATCCTTTTGGTTTTAGGCCAGTGTGTTAGCGTCCAGTTCTACTGCAGCAGCTGCTACCCTTTCTCTGGCTAATTCAGACGTCTCACTGCTGAACTACCAGTCGGCTTTGTACCCATCATCTGCAGCACCAGTTCCTGGAGTCGCCCAGCAGGGCGTTTCCTTGCAGCCGGGAACCACCCAGATTTGCACTCAGACAGATCCATTCCAACAAACCTTTATAGTATGTCCACCTGCTTTTCAAAGTAAGTGGGGAAGCTCCTGTATCATATGGTATTATGTCAGACCTACCTGCTTTAGGCAGATCCTTACTAGTTTTGGTCTTTGGCAAGCTTAAACTGTTTCTGATTATAAAGAGAATGGAAATTAACAAAGTAGATTTACCCTTTTTTATTTTATCTAATTATGATGCTATCTGACACATTACAGGAGTTAAATTCACGTTTCCTTATTTGAACTACCTGATTTCAGTTTTCTTGCCCATTGAGGCCTTGTATCAATGTCATAAATCTTGTATAAGGCTGTATCTCAATATGCAGAATATATAATCTTGAAAAAACTTGTAAATACAATTGCTATATATTGAATCTTATTTCCTATATCATTCCATTATAAAATAAAATGAGAGTGTTCCAAATAAAAGGTAATTTCATTATAAAGTGTAAAAATCATGTTTAAGAATGTGGAAACCTCTTAAGTTACATTTATAAATAAACATTCTTATTTATGGCACTGGAAGATTCTACAAGCTGAGGAACTTGTGTGGGGAGGGCGTTAAGATTATCTGCTTCAGCTTATCCTGTCCCTACAAACGCCTTCAACAGGAGTAGACTAGCTGAAGAAGGCGCTCTAACCCCACATATCGCAATAAGACTGTAATTCTCACATTCCCATCCTTTCCCACTTTCCCATTGTGGTTCTGTAATTCAGCCTGTTAAGTTCCTTTTTTCTGAAATACGGGAAAATGTGCTTATTGATCTGGTGAGCTATTTAGAAGGTAAAGTTTTTTAAAGGATATGAGTTTCCCATTAGAAAGTTAATGTCAGTACCCGGTAGGATAAACCAGGGGTCAGGCTTCTCATAGCACTTTCCATAGAAGCATTTTTATCTTTTTACTTCAGGTACTCATTGACTATGACTGTTTCCTTTGGTTTCTGACAGAGTCGGAGCAAGCAGAAGGCAAAGAGGGGCTAGGGGAGACTGAGAGATTCCCGGGAGGAGAGGAGAGCCATAGTGATGTAAACCTGGGAGAAACCCCGGGGAGAGCGGAGGAGCAGATTCAATATCCGTAAATGCAAATTTAGCCTCACTTACTGAATTATTTTCTACGTATGCTTCATAGTAGTAAATTCTGTCCTTTGGGTGGTTACATATTCAGTGATTCTTCAACTGAACTGAGCAAATAGCCGCTCCCTGCCCCTCACTTTTCCAAAGTGAGCTTCAGTGTTCAGGTGTGGGACTCCTGAGTTTTTTGCTTCTCCCCAGATGACATTTAAGAGATGAGGTACACGACCTTTTTAGTTCCTCTAACAAAACAAAATGCCAGCTGTAGTGGTACAGGGCTAAAGTGGTATAACCCCCTTTGACATAATTAGAGAAGTATAAGCTTTGGAAAGTGTTTTCCTGTTTAGCGAGTCTAAATCACCTGAGGAGCTAGAGCAAATTTTAAAATTTCCAAATGAAAGGGAGTTTCTTAATGAAGGTAATGGTGAAAGCTGATACGCATTACTACAGGCCACTTAATGTCCTGAATGCTGTTACATGTACTAATTCATTCTCACCATCAACCCTAGGAAGTGGGTGATGTCATTATGCCCAGTTTATAGATGAGAAAGTGGGTCACGATGCCCCCTTCTGCCCGATTTTTGTAACTGGTTAGTGATAGAACCACAATCTGAACCCAGGCAGTGGGTTCATAGCGTATGTTTTCTGGAGTATTATTCTATACGGCCTTTTAGCATTTAAACTCACATAGCTGTAGAGTTGTCAGTTGGTTTGCCAGCCACAGCCATATGCTGATTTCTGCCCAACAGTTCTATTTATTCCAGGTTGTTTACTTTTCTTTCACCATCTGCTCTTTTACAAAATGCCTATATTTAGAGGAGAAACAGACCCTCAGAAATTAGACAGTGTTACTCTTCTTTCCAAACTTACATGGTTTTTTATGTAAAGGGCTGTGTTCAACAAAAGCAAGACACAAACAAAATTTTAATCCTCCTTAGTTCAGGAAAGAACCTTCCAAAAGTGTTGCCTTTTGTTAATTTCCTCATTTCCACTTGGGGTTCCCTGAAACTAGCTTGACTGCTGTGTCTTAGCCTGAATTACGATAGCAATACTTAGAGTCAGTTGTAGGCCAGTACTGTAAATACTTCTTTCTATACTATTCTGGGTGACTAAAATAGATACACATTTTGCTCAGTGAAAACTTATTCTGTAATTTTTTCCTCTTTTATTTCATCATCCTGGGACACAGACGAGCTTCTATAAGTGAACATTTCTCCCTAAATTTTGCCTCTTTCCTTTCTATTAATTTGTAGGAAGCTGTTCCATTAACATTGTTTTGCAGTTAGCCATGTGTCCTGGGAATGTAGACAAGAATTTTAATGCTGCTTAGCTTTCTTATTAGATAGCATTGCCTTAGGAAGATTGAGTGGTAGATTATTTTTATCTGGGTATCTGGATTTGTTACTTTTTATTTTTATATAAGGAGCACTTAAAAAGTTATTAGAATGTCTTAATTATGATTTTACTCATCTCTTATTTTGTACATTATGTTTGTTTTTCTCTAGGACAGTTTGTTAGTAAATTACTTGTAAATTGCTGAAATGAGAAATGGAACAACTTGCTGTAAGCAACAGTATTAGAGTTTATGAGTTCTGCTCATTTGCTACCTCCATAGCAATATTGAGAGAAATGATTGGTGATAGCTTAAAGCATCACTGATGGAGTATCTAATTAAAATGTTTGTGTTCTTACCTAACAAAACCGAAGGCATTAATGAGTTAGAGGACTGATAGAAACTTAAGTTCTCTACACCAAAAGTTTTGATAGGGTAGGTTTGGAAAAAACTGCGAAGGCTCTTCTTGATTCTCAGCAAAGGGAAAGCGATCCTAAGTCCCTCTTTTCCCCAGAATGAGATGCTCCTATTAGTCAGTGTTTGTGCCCAGAGTGTAATGAATAGAAAGATAAAGGAGACGTGGCACTGCTTTAAGGCAGCCCAGAGTTCTTCTGACTTTCCTGGCTGTCCAGACTGCAGGAAGCCCTTGTTAGAGCTCTGTCAGTGACAGGCAAGTGTCTAAAATAAGGAGAAAAAAGTGTTTCTGTAAGACACATATCTACCTTTTAAATATTTTTATCCTAATTCACATATTGGGTAAAGAAAAAATATTTGACTAATTTGTGAATTGGGTGGTATAATACTCTTTAAAAAGGGTAATTTACTTGATAAATTATTGAGCTTTTCATATTTTCTTATCTGATTTAACCCAAAGTTATAATTATATTTAAGTCTTTGCTTTTTTAATAGGTTACATTTAAAAATCACGTTTTCTCCCCCTAGTGGATTAAAAGTTGAATGTAATTTGCTAAGTGGAGGTTTTTTTGGTTTTGCCTACACTGTTTGTTAATGGGAATGGGATGGGTGTTGTGTTTTAAGTTTTGTAGGATGAAAAAGCAAAATCAGAATTCCCTTAAATCAGCCCTCTCTGTATCAGACATCTTTTCATTAATCCCACCTGAAGGGACCATGCCTCTCTCTTCTTAAATCCCCAGACTTTTATGAAACTACTTTGTCTTAAGTGTCTAGAACTAAAACCTTACGTGGTGGATTAAACAACACCCAGACCTAGCAGAGTAGTTTAACTGTGGTGGTGTTTTCTACAGCTGGACTGCAGGCAACAGCAAAGCATTCTGGATTCCCTGTGAGGATGGATAACGCTGTGCCCATTGTCCCCCAGGCGCCCGCTGCTCAGCCTCTGCAGATACAGTCGGGGGTTCTCACGCAGGTAAGAGCCAGAGCCACTGGGACACTCTGTGTTGCTGAAGCACTATCAAGAATCAGAGATTTTTCTCCTAGAAAACTGATTTGCTTTGAGTATAAGATCTTTCTTGGTCATGATTCAGTGGCCTTAAAGTGAAACCTCTGATGGAACGGTGTGCTCATCCCACCTCTGCCAACTCTTCCTTAGACTCGTAGGGACAGATAGCACGCCCTCCAGAAATTGTCTTTTGAGTAAATCTACTCTAGTTTTGTGAGATGAAGTTAATTTTTTATGTGGGTGCTTTCAGAGGTACAGTACACAGGTAAACAACATTTTGATTCTAAAAATGAAAAGTTCCTCTTTTGCTCCCCGAGTGTCCCCTTTGGTCCCCTCTTTCAGAATTTCATCCCTCTTGTGAGGCTGGGTCACATCAGGATGCCCCTTCTAGCATTACATTCCTTTATTCCTGTGTTTCACTGGCCTGTAAAAAGCTCGGAATCTGTACCTGCCATGGAACATATGACTAAGAAAATCATTAAGTGTTCATATAAGCGAGATACTGTATTTTCCGATTTCCATTCTATGTGTAAATGTTTATGGCCCATGACTTGGGACATTCTGAAATCTCAACCCCTGATTTGTTAGTTGGACTTCTTAGTACCTGTCTTTGTGAACTGAGTCTTGTAGAACCCACCCTCTGAATCTGGCCCAAGAAGGATTATTATACTTGTTTACTTTAGGCCATTGACAAGGGGCCTAGTGGGCCCATGCTGTGCACAGTTGAAGGGGAAGGTTGTGTTCGGTATGTGCATTCGAGGTGATAGGAAATTACTGCTCATTGTTGGTAATAACGGGGGGCAATGAGAACCCTTCTGAATCCAGATACCCTGCCTCCGTGTTTGTTTCACTCACCTGCCTCATCTACGTTTCAGGGAAGCTGTACACCACTAATGGTCGCAACTCTCCACCCTCAAGTAGCCACCATCACACCACAGTACGCGGTACCCTTTACTCTGAGCTGCGCAGCCGGCCGGCCGGCGCTGGTTGAACAGACCGCTGCTGTACTGGTAATTCCCCTCTCTTGATTGTTACTAACGGAGTTTCTTTGGTTTCTTTCTTTTTTTATTTTTTCCTCTTCATTTTTGTTTCATTTTCTTCTGGTTTTCTCATTTTTTAAAAAAAAATTCAACTTGGTCTCTGCAGAGGGCATGGAAGCATGTGCTGTCTTGCAGCTGTGTTCTTGCTGCATCTTTAATGTCCTGTTGTTTTCCTTCCTGACATTTGCTGGAGCACCTTTGACTCAGTGTGGCTCTCAGGAGCCAGGCCCCCGACTCTTCTTTGCCAGCCTAGTGTGATAAAAGCTCTTGGTGTGGCCTCAGAAGAGCTTTGACACTATTCCTCCCCTTTTACCCTCCGATCCCTGAGAAGGAAAGAAAGAGCTTTAGTTTGGCTCTGCTGCAGGCACCCAGATGGCCCAAATTTGAACTCCTTAGCAAGTTAGTTTCCTTCTTTACTTGCTGTTTTAAACTTCTAAAACTTGGGCTATATGGAAACGTTTAAGATGCTCCTAATTTATTGCTTCATCAGCTGAACACATGAAGATAACTCTTTTGCCACTCATGACCAGTGGCAGCTTGTATTTTCCATTTAAAGATGGTCCCTTTAGAATCCCTTTAGATCACATTTGTTGATTGAAATGAAAGGTGAACTCATTTTTAGGGGTTTATGGAGAAATTATTTTACAAATAGGTCTTTATACAAAGGTGAAAATATGGATGAAAACTGCAAATACAATATTTGTTACTGAAAGTTCTGCGAAGAGTTACCGAGTGCAGCAGGGGTGTGGGCCTGAGAGAATGGAAGGACAAATAGGACTTTGAAGAATATTTCAGGGTTTGTAACTTTAAGAGTTATTTTTGGATGTGTTTTGGTTTATTTGGGGGAGTTAGAATTGTTTACTGGACACCCAGCATTTTATTATTTGAAATTTAAAAGTAGGCGAGCATTTAAAAACCTAACCGACACTATGAGTCCTCATATTTCTATATCCTACAAAGAGGCTCTCAGTTTCTCTTGTTTCTCAAGGACTCGTGTGAGTGAAAACACTTCTAGAAACATACTTTGGTGGTTGGAATTTGTTTGGTTTTCAGTTTAAAAGTCTTTGCCACCTCCTGATTAATTTTATCATAAGCATAACATCTGGGTGCAGGGAAGTCAGATCTATTTCTGGCTCCATTTATCCCAGCCCCTGGTCTTGATTGCTCACCCTGACTGTTGAGGTGGGAATGTTAGCTGACACTTCTGCTTTGCTGCTTCTCTTAAGTTTGCACTGGCCATTCGCTAAGCTTTGCATATTTCTGTCCTTCCCGTCAAAACAGTTTCGTCGCTTGGAACGCCCGATTTCTACTCCCGTTGGAATGCTATTTCTTGCTCTGTATTAAACTACATGCTTTGTCTTGTGCAGGTGTGGCTTATGGAAAGACGCATGGTGTGACTTAACATACTTCTCTTGTTTTTTGTTTTGTTTGGTTTTGTTTTTTGTTTGAAATTCTGCTTATGGTGGCAGACGTGCTTGCAGTTTCTCTGCTTTGAAGCCTTCTTGTTTGGAACCAATATTTGTAACAAGTGGATCTGTTACTTGCAGAAATACTTTTAAAACAGTGTCTGGTGGCCTTGCAGTTTGAAGTCCAAGAAACAGAACCATAGGTACCTAAGCACCATAGGTGATTATACTGTAGACTTTAGGTTTAAAAGGGAAACTTTCACGTCTGTTCGTATTTTTTTAGAAAGTGCCAGAATTTCTGTGAGAAGTACAGAAAACATATTCGTTGCTATTCATTGCAAGTGTCGTGGCTTGTGAAAAACTAGAAATGACATATTTTCTTGTAGTGATTAGTTTTATGTTGAAATATGTTTCTACAAACAATACATGAAACAAATGTTTTAGGTAACTATAAAACAAAATGCGGTGCTCTCTGCATCTGTTTCATAAATATTTTACTTACTGCCTTATTTTAAAATTCTGTTAAATGGTGAAGTTAGCTTTCTCTTGCTGGCACGAGCTTGTTTGCCAGAGGATTTTGGCCTTCGGTCATCCACATCTGGCTCCATTTTCCAAGTTATACCCTTTTAAAGAGGAACAGTTCTCCCCTTTGTTTTATGGGTTTAATTGACCTGATGTCTTATCTGATTGGCACTCAAATTTAAATTCCTATTTTAAATCTCAAGGAAGCTGTCTTACACTCTAGGGATGTGTATTCTTTTAATCTTTGCAAAAATGATACTCCAGCATTTAACTAGAGCTTACCTCTGAACCTTCAGGCTCCTTTACTCTAGAGTATGGTAGAGTCTCTTAACCACAGGACTTGGTCAGGCTGTGGAGGTGACCAAGAAAAAGCAGCATGCTCTGTCCCTAAACATAAGACTTGTAACCTTGAGCCCCCTGACCTTTCTTTTTTAATCTCTGCAAGTTAACAATCTACAAGCAGCTTCTTTTAAGATGTGAGTTTTTCTTTCATCTAAAAAACAAAAGGAAAAGCCAAGAATGAGTCCAGTCTGGATCTTTCTGTGTGTTTCTCTGCAGCAGGCTTGGCCCGGAGGAACCCAACAAATTCTCCTGCCTTCAACTTGGCAACAGTTGCCTGGGGTAGCTCTGCACAACTCTGTCCAGCCCACGGCAGTGATTCCAGAGGCCATGGGCAGTGGCCAGCAGCTCGCAGACTGGAGGCAAGTGCCCTGTGTTCCTTTTTGGGAGATTGGCAGGGGCAGATCCCATAGGGCAGGGGCACTTGGTAATTTGGTGAGATGGGAAGAAAATAAAGGAAAGGAGAAAATGATCTCTGTTTGAATTCCTTTAAGAAGAGAACCCATATCTGGTTAGGAGGTGGGGTTATAAGCAAACTTTGAATACAGGAAAGTAATCGGTTCTAAGCTCAGGAATCATGTATTTCAGGTTTAAAGAGTGGTATGCAATTATAAACCATACAGTGAAAACCTAAAGTCTTGTCCACGTGTTACATGACAAATAAAATGCAGCTCTTTGGGGTTGTTTGAATTGCTGTTAACAACTCTTTGGCCCTGGTTTGCCAGTGCTTTGGGCACTCACTTGTCTCCACTTCCTCCCATTGACACAGGAATGCCCACTCGCACGGCAGCCAGTACAGCACTGTCATGCAGCCGCCGTCCCTGCTCACCAGCCACGTGACACTGGCCACTGCGCAGCCCCTGAATGTCGGTGTTGCCCATGTTGTCAGACAACAACAGTCCAGTTCCCTGCCTTCAAAGAAGAACAAGCAGTCTGCTCCAGTCTCTTCTAAGTGCGTCTCTCTAGAGCTGAGAGTTAACTGGGGAGAGAGTTGCCCGGCACGCAGCGTGCTGTGGCACAGACAGTTTGATTGAGGGAGCAAGTGGCTGCCAGTCCAAGGAGCCAGCCCTTCATGTGGGCGTGCACACCAGGTGTGTCCTGGCTGTGCTGAGCCCGTGTCTCTGCTGCCACTTGAACTCTGGCCTTCTTTATGCTGCTGTTTTTATTTTCTGCCCACTACAGAGCGGAAGTTCACCATGGGGTAAGGGGCATACAAGAGTCAGGTTTACATTGTATTTTGGTGTTCTTGTCCTGGAGACCCTGGCTAGAGTGGTTAGTTTCTTTTTTGTTGGAACTTTTATACTTAAGTGTGTTGGCTTAATGATTAGGTAAAAAGGAGTCAAAGAGCAAATTGGCGAGAGCTTTGGGGAAAAGCTATATTGTTTGGGGCGCCAAGAACTGAATGGTCCTTCGTACAACCTTTTCCTGCAGGTCGTCTCTGGATGTTCTGCCTTCTCAAGTCTATTCTCTGGTTGGGAGCAGCCCCCTCCGCAGCACGTCTTCCTACAATTCCCTGGTCCCTGTCCAAGATCAGCATCAGCCAATCATCATTCCAGATACTCCCAGCCCTCCTGTGAGTGTCATCACCATCCGCAGTGACACCGATGAGGAAGAGGACAACAAGTACAAGCCTGACAGGTGAGATGGGCGAGGGGCTCCCTGGCTCCGTGGCTGCTGTCCTTGGCCTTAGACTGTCGGCTTCAGGCAGGTGGCCCAGCGTGGGCTATGCAAGGAGGGCTAAAAAGAGGTTTTGGAAGCATGGCTGTGGATGAGTGAGCCCAAACACTCGCTTCCGTAACAGCGTTGTCAGGTTTTCTGTGACATTTTACATGGTCATCAGTCAAACCGGCCTTTCAGACACGCTGGATAGAATAGTACGCCTGGTTACGCTGTTGGGCTGCACTGACTGGCACTGCACGTGGTTCCACAGACATGATCCCCTGCCCTGAAGGGGCTGTAGAGTCTGAAAACAGATTTGCAACAGAAGCATATAAACGGCAGTTAATGGGAATGAGTCAGTAGATAGGAGGTTATTTGAAACTCCTGTAATTTCTTACTCTCAAAAGGCCTCTTTGGAAGAGGTAGAATTTAAATAGAGCTTCCTTCTCTTTCCTCCTCTGCCAAATGGTCTGAAAGATTAAGAATTTAAGTATCAGATTATTTCCTCTTATCCCAGCACCTTGGTCCAAGTCCTTAACTGGGCAGTTAACTAGGACTGGGGGATATATTTAAGAACTGTGACGTGCCTCTCTTGGTGCGAACGTGCTGCAGTTGGTTGCTTCTGTTGGCCTGGGTTGTGTTCTTGGGCTTCTAGTGTTAGACATAGAGAAGAGGGAGTAACTCTTCTTCTACTTGAGGATCACACGTGAAGGTAACTTCGGAGACTTTACAGAGTCATTCATATATATATATATAAGTGAAGTTTAAATGAACTTGAAAGAGTAATTTTAGAACGAACTACTTCAAAAGGGCTATTCACAAAATGGTATTTGCAATTACAAAATGGTATTTACAAATGATAAGTAAACTTTCGGAACTAGGTTCTGAAAGTGGTCATTGAACTGATTTGGGGAAGAGATAAAGTAAACTTTCCAGTGAGCAGAAGGGTCCTAGTAGTGACAAAAAGTTATGTCACCAGTAGGATTGCTTTGACAGGAGCTAAGTCTGTTAGAAAAATGAGAAACTAAAGTTAGTAAGGTGTGAGTGGTTTGTGAAGGAACTTTAAAAAAATAAATGTATGGAGAGTAGTTTGATTGGATATAAGGAACCATTAGTTGGTCAGGGTGAGATGGAAGAAAAGCGGTGCCTGAGGAATACTGTTGAAATAACGGAGTGGGCATGGCTCGGAGGCGGTGTGGAGTAGTTGTTAGAGGCGTGCACTCTGGACTCACTCTGTCCTTGTCTGAGTCCTGTCTCATCACTTGTGTGCCCTCGGTCAAGTGTCTTAGTCTTCCTGTACCTCAGTTTCCTCATCTGCAAAATATTGATAATGGTATCTACTTCATAGAAGTGTTTCAGGGATTCAGTGAGTTGTATGTAGAGTGTAAGAATTAGTGCCTGATACATAATAGGCACTCAGACATCTGCTGCTGCTACTGTTATTATTGTCATTGTCATTGTCATCATCATTATCATCATTACCATGGGAGGACCAGAGACCATCAAAGAAACATTGCTAGAAAGGGGTTGAATTTTCAGGAACTTTCTTCTCCTCAGCTCTGGCCTGAAGGCAAGGTCCAATGTCATCAGCTACGTCACTGTCAATGACTCTCCGGACTCCGACTCTTCCCTGAGCAGCCCATATTCCACTGAGACCCTGAGTGCTCTCCGGGGCAATAGCGGGCCCCTTCTGGAGGGGCCCAGCAGAGGCGTGGGGGACAGTTCGGGCACCCGCACCATCATTGTACCTCCACTGAAAACTCAGCTTGGCGACTGCACTGTAGCGACTCAGGCCTCGGGTGAGTGTCTCCCAACTGGAGGTGAATTCTCTTTTGAGGTGTGGATCCTTCAGTTTGCTATGATGTACTTATGCCAGTGGTAGAGACCAGTGGCATAGATTTTCTTAAAGATTCCTTAATTCAGAAATTATTTCCTTGTGTTGTAAAATTAATCTTGGCCATCAGTTTATTTTCCTGTATTTATTTTACTTGGATTAATATAAAAATGAATTTTTAGTCTCACAAATACACTTACTGTAGATGGGAGAAGTTTGGCAAGACATATGTGATATGGTGGAGCACTAAAAACATTAGCAAGCAATGCTTGTTTTTGTTTTTTGGCCGCAGGTAATATGATTTTGACAATCCGAAAGTGGACGGGAACCGATAATATTAAAAATGACGGCAAAAGTATTTTTGGAAAACAATAGGTTGTACTTTAGATCTTTTCTCTCCAATGTTATGGCAGTGATACTGTTGTGGGCTTTATTATCAGCCAGATTCCATCTTTTTTGCTCCGTCAGATGCTGGGCCTAGGCTCCTAGGTTTAGTTATTGGTTGCTCACTGCAGCACCAAGCCCCAGATTTCCCTGGCTTGACACAACGGAAGTTTACTTCTTACTCATGACTTCCCAGTACAAGTGTTTCTGGTGGGTAAGCCTGCAGTGAGTTAAGGATCAGAGCCTTGGCCCCCTCAGCATCCAGTCAGAAGGAAAAAAGAAAGTTTGAGGGAGGCACACACATTTCTGAACCTCTTTACTCTGGAAATAGTGAAAACCCATCACGTGGCCCCACCCAGAGGCAGGGGGCCCAGGATGTATAGTCTTTGACTGGGCAGCTGTTTTCCATGGAAACTGACACACTGGAGGAGGGGAGCATGCATTCCTGGTGTCAGTATAGCTGTTTGTTTCGTACTTGTGTGAATTAGTGTTTTACTATTAATTATGTTACTGCCAGAGATATGAACAGGGTTCTGATTTGAGGATATTGTGTTAAGTGTAGACACCTGTCCATTGCTGACAAAACAGAACTTCCCATGCTAGGCTTCTGAGCAAGAATATTAGGCGCTCTGTTCACTGTTGGGTGCAAAAAATACAGGCTGCTCCACAAGTCACTGAATAACTACTCCAGTTTCCTAGTGGGAGCGCAGAAGGATGCAAAACGTTGAAAATTGATTTGCTTATGCAACTGCCCTGCAGTTTCTTAGAACTTGAAGATAGCGAGTGCCCAGCATCATGTAATCTTGCCTGCCTTTAAACCCTTTTCATACTTAAATGTCCTGAGTATTACCAATACCTTACTCAGCTTCCCGTTGTCATTTCTACTCCTATTTACTCCCCTCCTACCTAAAACTGGGCTCCCCGGTGGTAGGAACTGCGCCTCACTGTGTCTGTATTTCAGTAGTACCCTGTACATGCAGGAGATTAGAGAGTATTTACTGCAGTGAACATGATGGAGGTCATTTATGATTTTTGTAGCACGACAGAAAGGAAATGGGTGATACGGTTCCTGTTCCGGTGTAAATGTAATTCAGGAAATAAAATAAACCTGAAACCTTTACTCCTGCAAAGCTCATACAAACGTGGTTGATTATACTGTATGATGCCATAATTTAGCCTGTGGTTCTGAGCAGATGTCTCCTCGTACCTCCTGAATGCCCGGCTCTCTTGTAGGTCTCCTGAGCACCAAGACCAAGCCAGTGGCCTCGGTGAGTGGACAGTCATCTGGATGCTGTCTCACCCCCACCGGGTATCGAGCACAGCGTGGGGGGACCAGCGCAGCACAGCCACTCAACCTCAGCCAGGTAAGCGCGAGGGGCTGCTGGCTTCTGTTTGGGGCGCCCCCTGTTGTTACTCTCTGGAGAACCCCGCTTCTGGCTGGACTGCTGAATAAAGCCCAATGAAGCTCCTTTTGTGTCAGACGGTTTGGTGTCCTGCGGCCCGCGTCAGATCCGCACGTGCTGTCTCTTTCTCCCTGTATGAGTGTGTGCAGGATGCACATCCCAGGTTTTCCATCAGACCGTCTGGGCTGTCCTGGGAGATTAGAGAAATGTCTGGAATGTAGAAAGAGCCTAAGGTGCTTGAGGCTGTGTCTGGTTCTGCACCACTGCATGCTTTGAGGCCAGATTCTCTTGCTTTATCTCCCGGATCATAAATAACCTCACACTGTTTACTTGAGGCAAGAAACAGGGAAAAGCTTTCTGGCCTCTTAGTCAGCCGGTTCTAGTCCTATATGTGTGAGTCCGGGATTGGGGGCTTTTCCCTACCATCTGATCCTCTGATGGGGTGGGGAGGGTCACTATTCTGTTTGTGTTCACTCTTCTTCAGCTCAAGTTCTGGCGCTTGTGTGATGCTTACTAGTAGTGAGAAAGTGTACATATGAGGGTGTAACTGTGTGTGTGTGTGCGCGCGTGCATGTGTGAGCACACATGGAAGTGCAAACGTAAGTTCGAGTTAGTGCATGTGTTTTAGGCTCCACAATTCAAGAGGGACATGAAGAACTTAGAGGAGAGCAAAAGGAAACATTGCCAAGAAAGAAAGGTTAGGAAACATTCAGATTCCCTGACGCCAGAATAGGGTGAGTTGAGCCAACAGTTACTAACTTGCAGGCGTGGGTAACCCTCTGAGCTCCTGATTCCCCCCCCTTTCCTCTGTCTTGCTCAAGAGCAAATCGCTGCTGCCTGGGCTGGGTTAGGGTCTGCGCTGCCAAGAGGCAGAGGGCTGAACGACTGCCTTCTGACAGCGTCACCTGCCTGGTAACGTCTGTGCTCTGGCAGCCCAGAGGCAGTGTAAGTTAGAACCTCGGCCCTCAGGACCAGGGTGGCCGCGAGGTTCCTTACTCCCTTCTTCCTCCTTCCAGAACCAGCAGTCATCGTCAGCTCCAACCTCGCAGGAGAGAAGCAGCAACCCTGCCCCCCGCAGGCAGCAGGCGTTTGTGGCCCCGCTCTCCCAAGCCCCCTACGCCTTCCAGCATGGCAGCCCAATACACTCGACGGGGCACCCACACCTGGCCCCAGCCCCTGCCCACTTGCCAAGCCAGCCTCACCTGTATACGTATGCCGCCCCCACCTCTGCTGCTGCCCTGGGCTCCACCAGCTCCATTGCTCATCTCTTCTCCCCCCAGGGCTCCTCCAGGCATGCTGCAGCCTATACCACCCACCCCAGCACTCTGGTGCACCAGGTCCCTGTCAGTGTGGGGCCCAGCCTCCTCACCTCTGCCAGTGTGGCCCCTGCTCAGTACCAACACCAGTTTGCCACCCAGTCCTACATTGGGTCGTCCCGAGGCTCAGCAATTTACACTGGATACCCACTGAGTCCTACCAAGATCAGTCAGTATTCCTACTTGTAGTTGGTGAGCTTGAGGCAGGAGGGGCCGTGGCTGCCCTTCTTGGCCCTGAGTTCTCCAGAATGGGCTATGATGAGCTCCTCCCTTACTCTCCTTGAAACTCCTTAGCCAGCCACTTGCTCTGCAGGGGCCCGCTGGCGTAGAAGGTTTTTCTCTGGGGAACCTGTCTCAGTGTTGACTGCATTGTTGTAGTCTCCCAAGTCCACCCTGTTTTTAATTCTTTATTTCTGTGACAGCAGTCTTGGTATTTGGAAGAGTTCAGATGCCCATCCTCTGCAGTTACCAAGGAAGAGAGATCACTCTGAAGTTACCCTTTGAAAAATATTTTCTCTTTCTGACTTTATTTCTATAAATACTTTTAAAACAAGTGAAGCCCCTTGTTATTTAACTTGGTTTTATTGTAGTTGCTGGTCAGAGGAAAAGTGCTGATAGAAGGACTTGAAATTGGTAGTAAGTGAGAAAAGAGCAATCATTACTTTTTGCTTGTTTAAAAACCAAGATTTAATTGCTTATTTTAAGAGCAGCTCTCACAAGTCCTTATTTTACTATCAGGCACTTTTCCTCAGAATTTTACTTTTGTTTATGAGATATTTAAACTTACAGTGTTTTAATTTTGTTTTTATGTCACATTATACCTAATGGGCAATCGTTATTTTTGCAAAGCTGGTTGTGTACTGCTCTGTATTGCTGTTGGGATTCTCTCAGTTACTCTGTGTTTATTACAAAGTAGTGTTAAAAAGGCAGCTCACCATTTGCTGGCAACCTAGTGCGAGAATCCATACCTGCCATAAGAACACAAAACACCAGGCATTCTTTTTAAAGAAGCACCATACGTTCTTTTAAGATTATTTTCTGAAAAGTCCTTCTCTGATTCAGCTTAAATTTTATTATGGAAAAGCCATGAAGGTGGTTGTTATTGTATGGTGGTGGTGGTTTTATTATATGCAAAATCTCTTTGTATTATGCTATACTGGCATTGATGAGCTTTGCCTAAAGATTAGTATGAATTTTCAATAATACACCTCTTTTTCTCCTCGCCTCCCCTCTCCCTTCTGTTCTCTGTGATTTATTTGGGGGGAAAGCTAAAGAATCTGAAACCAGATCAGAACATTGTGTATAGCTTTTATACTTTAGAGTAGCTTCCTTTGTATGCCAGCAGCAAATTGAATGCTCTCTTATTAAGACTTATACAATAAGTGCATGTAGGAATTGCAAAAAATATTTTAAAAATTTATTACTGAATTTAAAAATATTTTAGAAGTTTTGTAATGGTGGTGTTTTAATATTTTGCATAATTAAATATGTACATATTGATTAGAAAAATATAACAAGCAATTTTTCCTGCTAACCCAAGATGTTATTTGTAATCAGATGTGTAGTGATTACACTTGAATTGTGCATTTAGTGTGTATCTGATCCTCCAGTGTTACCCCGGAGATGGGATTGGTGTCTCCATTGTATTTAAACCAAAATGAACTGATACTTGTCGGAATGTATGTGACCTAATTGCAGTTCTGTTAGAGCATATTACTGTAGTGCTGAGAGCGCGGGGCGCCTGCGAGGAGAGGAGACCCTTGGAGTTGTTTTGCACAGGTGTGTCTGGCGAGGAGTTCCGTGTGTCCCCTTCTCCCCTCTCCTCCCTTATTGTAGTGCCTTATATGATGCTGTAGTGGTTATAGAGTTTACAGTGAGCTTGCCTTAGGACGGACCAGCAAGCCCCCGTGGACCCTAAGCTGTTCACTGGGATTCATCAGAACAGGATTAGTAGCCGTGTTGTGTAAATGCGTGGTTCTCACTTTCCCTGCCGACACCGAAAAATAAAAACAGCAGCTTTCCCCCTTTGCTGCCACCCCGCCCCCTTCCATTTCGGCGTCTCAGCCGAGCTCTCACGGAGGCCTCTTCCCCGCGGCTCACTGTGCTGCCTGCTGCTGCGAGCACCCGGGAAGCGGGAGAGGAGTCGAGCCAGTATTTAACATGCAGTTTTTTCTTTTTTAAAAAGTATGTGCAATCACTTTGAGAATGAGATTTTTTTCCTTTTCCCATGTGGCAGTCCTTCCTGCAGATAGTTGACATTCCTAGTAAAATATTTGCTTGTTGTAAAAACACATAACAGATGTGTTTATACCAAAGAGCCTGTTGTATTGCTTACCATGTCCCCATACTACGAGGAGTTTGTGATGCCACTAGTGGCAGGGAACTCACAGAAAGGTTGCTTAGCCAGTGAACAATACCAAGAAGGAACCAGAGCCTGTTGAGTCACTGGGCTTTTGAGGTTTGTTTTTAACAACTTGCATGTTCTGGGGGCCCTTCAAACTGTGAAATTGTCCTTGTACTCTCGGCTCCTGCATGGATCTGGGTCAAGTAGAGGGTACTGCGGATGGTGATGTTCCTGCCGTAAGAGATTTTGGGGAGGAAGGTTAACCCTGAGATGCAGAAGTGTTCCATCTGAACTGAAAACGACATAGTGGAGGGATACGTCTAGGACTGGTTCTTTGTGGAGAGGGTGTCAAGGAGGTGCAGGATGGAGATGGGAGATTTCATGGAGCCCGGGCAGCGGCTCTGCCCCGGGTCAAACACCGAGGAGCTGTCAAGGTATTTGGAGTTTTTTCTTTGCAAGGAGTAAAGGCTCCCAGGATGGGGCAAGTGGGTCAGTGCAGCCTTCCAGGAACATGTCGGCGTTTTCTGTATATTTTTAAATTATATTGAGTTGTGTTTCAGCACTGTACTGGTCAAGATACCCAAGCAGTTAGTATAGTTTCTGTCACTGGTGTGTTATAGTGTTCTGGTCAGTGCGTGTGGTCTTTGTGTCTCCTTTTTGCCAAGCACATTCTGATTTTCTTGCTCAAAGGCAGATCTGGTTTCTAATGGAAGCATTTTTTGTTCCTTTTCTTTCCTCTACAAGGGGTAGCAATTGTTTTTTGTAAGAAACGAGATGCAGGAAAAACAACCAGAAAACACTCTGCTCCTGCCCCCAGTCCAGTAGGTAGATGCCATTTAAGATGCAGGGAAAAGACAGTACCAAGAGCTTGTATTGTTACCTTAGTCACCTTATTAGCATTGTGTGGCTTTAAGGATTTTAGAGATTTTCGGTCTTAGTCTGTAAATTGGCATTTCGGATTTACCAAGGTAAAAACCCACCTGTGTCTGCTGAATGTGTATGTGCTCAATGTGGCTTTCGATTCTGTCCCTGGGGCTTGCCGTCCCTGGCCCTGACAGGATGGGGGATGCCCGTGAATTTAGTGAGCAGCTGGCCTGGATCATAGTGGCCTGGCCTCAGACCAGGTTAAGGCTTCGAGCCCTCTCAGGAGTTGCATTTCCAGCTTCTCCCCTTTAGGTTGAAAGAGGCTGTGGGTAAGGGTTAAGTACAGCTGCTCTAGGCTTACGTTCATCAGGACACTCCCGAGTTTTTAATAGCTCCCAAGAGGTCAGTGCTCGGCTAAAATACCAGCCCCGGGAACAAGAACTCCATTTCAGACAGTCTGGCCATCCATCATCCTCCAGCAAGGGGCTATAACCCTGACTGCCCGGGCAGGCAAGCACAGCCCTGTGTGTTTTATGCAGCATTATTATGCAAAAACCCACTGGTTAGGATGGTCTGTTTTAAGTTAGGAAATGAAATTGCCTCCCAGCAACAGGAATGGCCCAAGCCTGCTTCCTCTTTTGATTTTGTTTTTATCTGATGGATGGTGCAGCATGTCTACTTGGTTGTTTGTTGCTAAACTTTATATAATGTGTGGTTTTGATTCAGCTTGAAAAATAATCTCACTACATGTAGCAGTACATTATATGTACATTATATGTAATGTTAGTATTTCTGCTTTGAATCCTCGATATTGCAATGGAATTCCAACTTTATTCAGTGTATTTGATATGCTAGTTATTGTGTGCGATTTAAACTTCTTTTGCTTTCTCCCTTTTCTGGTTGTGCGCTTCCTTTTACAACAAGCCTCTAGCAACAGTTTCTGAGAATTACTGAGCTATGTTTGTAATGCAGATGTACTTAGGGAGTATGTAAAATAATCATTTTAACGAAATAAATAGATATTTAAAATTTAATACTAACTATGGGAAAAGGGTCCATTGTGTAAAACATAGTTTATCTTTGGATTCAATGTTTGTCTTTGGTTTTACAAAGTAGCTTGTATTTTCAGTATTTTCTACATAATATGGTAAAATGTAGAGCAATTGCGATGCATCAATAAAATGGGTAAATTTTCTGATTCATGAGGCTGTTTTGGACCTTTGTTACAAGGGTACAAAGGGGGTCCTCACATGGCATCTTTGGAGGTGCTAACTAAATACACCTTAAAATCAGTAGACAAATTATATATTAGAGACAGATTCATCTTTCATACAGACCACAATGGAAGCGAATGGGCATTGGAAGGGTACATTTATTTTCTAAGCCTGAGGCTCCAGGGCCCAAACGTAATCATCCAGATCTGGCCCTTTCCAGGAGGCAGAAACTTCTGACACAGGCTAATTAAACATCGTTTCCTAGCGTGTTCCACCTGACATCTAAAGTAGCAGAATAGAAATAATCACCACAGACGATGCTATTTTCCCTCCGTGCAAGCTGCAGCTAGAAGCAAGGTCCTTTTTAGAGAAGGAGCACTTCTGATCAGCTTTCTCTTCATTCTGAAGTGAGTAAAATTTCTCCAGATAAAGAATTAGAGATTTGTCTGGATTAATCACTGCAGGTCTCTGAATAAATGCTACATTCATTTGACTCCTTTTGGCACATGGGTTTCAGGCCCAGTTAACCATTCAGTTGTCCTTAATTCATGGGGCTCCTGCAATCATACTTGGGATGTAGGAACACCTAGTTGAGAAACATTTAGAAGCACCCTTTTGAACCACAACCAAGAGAAATGATCAGTAGTCCTCTTCCATAAGTAGGGAAGTCAGAATATATTTATATTGATTTAGACTGCACATACATATTTTTCAGGTTTTCTTCCTGAGTAAATGAATGTAAAATTAGTGTGAACTTCCTGAACACTCCCCAGTTAAGAGAATATACCTCAAAGCTTTCAGGCAAAGGAAAGCCATATAGGAAGGCCCTGCTGTCAATCATGCTTCCAGTTAACCAAGAATTGACTGACTTCTTGATGACCTCTTTTTGTTTGTTTTTTGTTTTTCAAATTGTTTTTGTTTCAGTTATGTTCTCTTTGGGCTAAATCAGAGAGAGATTGGGGTAGTCCTATAAGTACTTGGGTAGTCTGTGGGGAAATCTGCATTTTAATGATGACAACTCCTATAAATTCAGTGTGCTTGGCTTGCTTTGTGGAAAATTCCATATGAAGCTGAAGTCTATGCTTTGGTTTCCCTATTAATCCTGAGATAGTACCTGGCGTGTAGCACTAGATGGCGCCAGTGAGCTATGGAAAAAGGTAATACGACCACAGTGGCCTTTTTCCCCCACCTCTTCCCCACAAACTTCACCCCTTCGGCTTCCAGCTTCCACTGAACCAGGCAGAAAACAGCCCGTGCTATTATTAGTGGGAAAGGGAAGGATTAATGAAGCATATTTCTTATGTCAGTGCTGGAAGCCTTCTAAAACCTGGGACTAGAGTTTGCTGAGTTTTCTCTGGGGCCTCCCCCAGCTAGCTCCTTTTCCTGGGTGACTGCCCAAAGGCTCTGCCCCAGGGTTTCCATCTCCTCGCCCGGGGAGCCTACAGCCTAGGCCGGAGGTGGTTAAGGCTTCTGGCTGCTCTGCAGCGGGGCCATCTGTGTTTGATCAGTCCAGGCAGAAAGGAGGGGGTGGGGGCCCTAAAGGGCCTGACAGCATTCCAGAGAAGTGAGAGAGAACCGAGATCCAGAAAGGGAAGGCCCGCCCCCACCCCGCCTCCAGAGCTCGCCCCGTGGGCTCCGGTGGCAGAGGCCGCCAGCTCAGGACTGCACACTTCTACTCTGGCCCCGCTCTCCCGCTGCCATGGGACCCTGGACCCCCCTCCTCACCCTGCTCCTGTTGTCCTGGTCGGGACCCCTTCAAGGACAGCAGCACCACCTTGTGGAGTACATGGAACGCCGACTAGTCGCCTTAGAGGTGAGTGACTCCTCTCTCCTGGCCCCACCTGGCAGGGTGGCACATTTTCGGTTGGTTCACCCAGTTTGTCAGGCATCGAGGGATCACAAGACAGGGCTCTGTAAGAACCTACAGAAAAACCCCATCTTTCAAGAAGATCCTCAAAATTGTAAGCTCTCTTCCCCACGTACACGGAACTATTCAGACCTTGGAGTTTTACCCCCAGGATTAGATGGGATAGAGGGACAGAGTGGGCGTGAGAGCTGGGATTGTGGGGACGCGTCTCAGGACAAGCTGATGATTCTGTTGAAGTTGGAAGTGCCCAGAGAACTCTGCCTTTTTAACACGTTGAAGTCTGCAGCATCTTGATCCCAGGAGAACTGTGTAATGGAGCAGAGACCCCCCTCCCCCCATGCACCTAGACTGCCCAGAGGCTCTGTGACTCAGTGGCCCTGCTCACAGAGAAGGCGGGCTGGGGGACCTGCAGCGGGGCAGCTTCTAGGTGAATCCGAGCCAGGCTTTCTGCACTTTGGCGTCTCTGAACATCTGGTTTCCGTTCCGTGGAGGTTGAAAGGGATGTTGCTGCCTGGCTGAGTGTGTGCTCTTCCCCGTTCCTGACTCCCTGGTTAGGCCTCTCCCTGCCTGGGAGCTGTCACCCTGCAGCCCTCCCCCTCCCCCATCCCTCCAGGAGCGGCTGGCCCAGTGCCAGGACCAGAGCAGCCGGCATGCTGCTGAGCTGCGGGACTTCAAGAACAAGATGCTGCCGCTGCTGGAGGTGGCCGAGAAGGAGCGGGAGGCCCTCCGAACCGAGGCAGACACCATCGCGGGGAGAGTGGACCGTCTGGAGCGGGAGGTTGACTATCTGGAGACCCAGAACCCAGCTCTACCCTGTGAAGAAGTTGAGAAGGTGACTGGAGGCCCTGGGACCAAAGGCAAGGGTAGAAGGAATGAGAAATATGATATGGTGACAGGTAAGCGACCTGGAGGCAGGCCCCTGACTGAGAACCTGGGTACTTACCTGTCCTCAGCCCATAGGGAGGAGTCAGCTCTGCTGGGGACACTGAACTGCCTACCATGGTTCCCCTTTTTTCTCCTTGGTCCCGCCCACTGTGGCTGTATCTTCTGGACTCTGTAGTGACAGGTCCATCAAGGAGGGTTTCTGGGGACCTTTCCCCAATCCTCCGTAGCAGTGGAGGCTCCCACCGGGCAAATGCACACTGCTCTCCAGTGGCCACCCTGGGGTGGGGATTCCTGCGTTGGGCACCTAACTCTTGCCCGTATTACCTTTGTCTTGCGCTTTCCTCCTTCCCCACAGACTGTAGCTACACCATCTCTCAGGTGAGATCCATGAAGATCCTGAAGCGGTTCGGGGGCCCCGCTGGTCTGTGGACCAAGGACCCACTGGGACCCACAGAAAAGATCTACGTGTTGGATGGGACACAGAATGACACAACCTTTGTCTTCCCAAGGCTGCGTGACTTCACCCTGGCCATGGCTGCCCGGAAAGCTTCCCGCATCCGGGTCCCCTTCCCCTGGGTAGGCACAGGGCATCTGGTATATGGGGGCTTTCTTTATTATGCCCGGAGGCCGCCTGGAGGACCTGGAGGGGGTGGGGAGCTGGAGAACACTTTGCAGCTCATCAAATTCCACCTGGCAAACCGGACAGTGGTGGATAGTTCAGTGTTCCCGGCGGAGGGTCTGATCCCCCCGTACGGGCTGACGTCAGACACCTACATTGACCTGGCAGCCGACGAGGAGGGCCTCTGGGCTGTCTATGCCACCCGGGAGGATGACAGGCACTTGTGTTTGGCCAAGTTAGACCCACAGACCCTGGACACGGAGCAGCAGTGGGACACGTCGTGTCCCAGAGAGAACGCCGAGGCTGCCTTTGTCATCTGCGGGACCCTGTACGTCGTCTATAACACACGCCCTGCCAGTCGGGCCCGCATCCAATGCTCATTTGATGCCAGCGGCACCCTGAGCCCCGAAAGGGCAGCGCTCCCTTACTTCCCCCGCCGATACGGTGCCCACGCCAGCCTCCGCTATAACCCCCGAGAGCGCCAGCTCTACGCCTGGGACGATGGCTACCAGATTGTCTACAAGCTGGAGATGAGGCAGAAGGAGGAGGAAGGCTGAGGAGCGGCCTGACGGGTCCCTCATCTCGCCTCACCTCCCCGCTCAGTTTCCTGTTCCTCAGTCTCCGATCGTGGGCAAGTTGTAGTTCAAATCTCATCTTTTTTAGCCAATGGAAGCCAAGTTCCCATGGCCCCTTCATTTCATACGGGACTCTGGATCTTGACTAACCCTTTTAGAGCTAAAAGAGAGAAAACCCTAAGGGTTCACTCCTTTCCTGCCCCATGTCAACAAATTTCAGGCCAAAGATGACCCAGGCCCAGAGCTCTGACCCTTGAATGGGCGCCACCCCAGTGAGAGGCAACAGAGCACTTCTTGCCTCGGTGTGAGGCAGAGGAGACAGGACTAGGGGGAGACTTTCAACTCTGCCCTCTCTCCCTTCAGTGCCCTAAAGAATGGGACTCTCTCCGCCTCGTTTTGTACTGAAACGTTTTGCATTAAAAGGAAAATCCACCCCTCCTCGCCTGTGTCTTTTTGGGGCAGCCCTCAGATCGTATTTCACCCCATGACCCTCTGTTTCCCCCTCCACCCCATCCCCACTCCTTCGGCTGCATTAGGGACCTGGCTGGGTTCCCTGGCCCAGGGAGAAGGAGCTTCTCGAGTTACAGATTTTACTGCGAGGAGCCTTCCCACCCCGGGAAGCTGCAGAATCCCTGCTTCCCGCCACTTCAGGAGGCTGGGCAGAGGCCTTCTGCATACCCACCTCATCCTCAGCGGCCCTCCCAGAGCGACCCGTGGCACTGTGCCCTTGGCCACGAGACTGCCCAGGGGCAGAGCTTCCAATTCCAGCTCTCAGAGGTTTTGAACCAGTAGGTTGGTGAGCAAATGGATTGTAGTTGCATCGAAGTCTTGTGGAAGGCAGAGGCCAAACCCATGTGTTTTCAGGAAGAACTGAAGTCTTACCCCCAGAGTGGACTCTGCCCCACGCCCGTCTCCAGCAGCGGGCTGGCCCCCAGGGTTGCACAATCGGACTTGGTCTGCGCCTCCCTGGTTTTCTTGCTGCCACAGCGTCTGCGGTTTGGGCGTCTCGGATGCTAGTCCTCCAGTTTCCCAGCACATTCCCTCTCTCCACCCTCATCTCCCCACCTTCCCACCCTGGGCCTGGATCTGGACGTCTATCTGGGAGTCCTGGAAACTTAACCCTTTCTTGATGGTACCCTGGCCTCTGGTTTGCAATGGCCAAAGCCATCTGGGGAAGGGAGGGGACAGGAGGAGGAAAACCCCGGGTTTAGGACTCCAGTCTCTAGGACAGCTGAGCTCTGGACCAGGCCAGGCCCATCCCAGCTTCATTCCCCTGCCCTGTCCAGCACTGGGGAGCAAGGCTGGCTGATGGATCAGGCCCCCTGCTTTATGGGGAAGTTGACCTCAGGGCGCCCTGGGAGTCCTCATGGTGATTACCCCAGGTGGGAGGGAAAGGGAGCTTGGTCTTCTCCCCACTGTGCACCGTCCTGCCCCCAGGGTGGGGTGGGTCAGCCAGGGCCCCCTGAGCCTCCTTTGTCTCCTGTCAGGCAGAGCCGCTCCGTGAGGAAAGGGAGAGAAAGCAGTGGAGCCGGAGGTGGCGGGGGCTCTCACCCATTGGGTTCTCTCCTAATGTGGGGCTGGCAACGGTAATCACCACCTGTCAGCCCACCGAGGGGTCTGCCCACTGAACATCTGGC